AGAGAGAGAGGGAGAAGAACGAAGAGAAATAGAAGGGAAAAGGAAGATGAGGAAGGGTGATTCCAAGGGAAAGGCCGTGCTCAGTCCGAGAGAACTAATTTCATAGTTTTAAGGGCCACTGGAATTGAGCCGGTTCGGGTCATCGCTAATTGGGTGCTGTACTGGCTAGATTGCGGTCACCTTGTTAGAAACCTCGACGACTTCGCTACTGTGAAAATGTACCTTCTCCTAGCGAAGAACGAACCCTTTCTCGCTTTTCAACGCGTGTATCGACTATCATTCACGTTTGTGCGTTTGAAAAGAAACGCCTCGGTGAAGCAAGTCGCTTGATCACACAATAATTTTCCAGCGGCAAGAACTATTGCTTCAATTTGAATCTTTAATCATATCTTCAATTGTTTCTGTAATTTGCATGCCCTCGAAGTGCAACACGAAAGCGCCGGGCCATTAAAAATCAAATATTTAGAAATATAGAAATTAGGAAATTTGAAGGTGAATTTAGTATGAATAAATTTAGTATTTAATACTTTTCAATACTTTACGAGAAAAATATACGATGATTATCGCTTAAAAAAAGAGAAAAACAAACTTGATCTTCAAACGCCTTCGAATGCCTCAACATTATCGATCAATAATCATCTCAGGATACTTAAATTTTATCTGAAACATTTTCGTAATTAATGTAATTAATCGTTTCGGAAATATTTCAACTTCTAGTCTTAGGTGATTGATCCTGTTGTTTAGTATATTTAACGAATATAATCGTGAGTTGAGTTTACATAGCTAAAACTACACGGCTAATCTTATTGACTGCGACAACAAGCAACTCGAAGATAACTCAAAAACTCTCCTCACGGTCATTTTCGACTTTTCACACATCTCTCTTTTTATCAAAGCGTAGCTTCCGTTTTGTACGTTGAGAAGCTCTAAATCTTGGAGTTTTCTGCTACTTTGATACCCTCATCTTCACAATTCATTTCTCAATTCGTTGCAATTAAACTCATGATGTTGAAGAGGATATATTTGAAACTTTAGAAGACTTGAATCTGAAGACGAACGTTTGGAAATTTAGAACTCACTCAAAAATATTTGACAATATAGACACTCGAGATCTCAAAAATTTAGAAACTGAACATTTGGAGCGTTCGAAAATTTGGACCACTCAAGAATATTTGACAGTACAAACACTCGAGATCTCCAAAATTTAGAAATTGAACATTTGAAGCGTTCAAAAATTTGGACCACTGAAGAATATTTGACAGTACAAACACTCGAGATCTCCAAAATTTAGAAACTGAATGTTTTGAACGTTCAAAAATTTGGACCACTCAAGAATATTTGACAGTACAAACACTCGAGATCTCCAAAATTTAGAAACTGAATATTTGGAACGTTCGAAAATTTGGACCACTGAAGAATATTTGACAGTACAAACAG